AGGCAAGGACGAACGGGAGAGGCCAAGACGAGACGGGAGAGCAGACGAGACGGGCGAGACGGGGCGAACGGGGCGAGACGGGCGAGACGGGCGAGACGGGCGAGACGGGGCGAGGACGGGCGAGGGTAGGCGAGGGATAGGGCGAGGGCGAGGCGAGTGGCAGGGCGAGGCCGGTGGCGAGGCGGGCGAGGGGCGGAGCCTCCCGCGGCGCAGCGCCGTCTGAAATAGGGCGGCGGCCGCGCGGCGCAGCGGGGGAGGCGCGCAGGCGGAGTCGCTGCGCGTGGCCGCGCGAAGCCCAGTGGGGTGGGGCGGAGCGACATCGTTTTAAATGCGGAAAGCGATTGCTGGAAGACAAGGCGGGCGAGGCTTTCCTAAATATAAGTGCGAAGATGTCACTTCGGAGCTGAGTGCCGTATTCAGGTCACGCAAAGAAAAGGTTTCTTTTGTGTAGTAGGAGGTCTTACACGTTGAATGGATTTCTGTTTCAAGAAGCCATGCAGTTGTGCCGAGTGTATTTATGTATGTGTATTCAAAGAAGGTTCTTCGGATGAGTAAGCGAAAATGGAGAGAAAAAACAATAAAAAGAGAAGTTTGTGGATGGTTTCAACATTGTAGAGAGATGTGAAATCTTTCTGGATGAAATAGTAGTCCTCGTACTTCGTAAGAAGAGAAAGGTTGAGATTGTGCGCCGGAAAATATCGCATTTTGTCAGAAAACTTTTTATTGCCGTGCCCTGCAATAGAATAAGTGGATAAATCTTCTTCATATATTTTTAAATGACTTCTTGTAACACGTTGTGTTGTCCATCGTCTGGAATCCACGTTGTGGAGTCTATATATATTTTGAGTCCTTCATAACAAAAAATCAATTGACGACAAAAACAATGTCTGTTTGAGGCCAACGTTAGTGCTTAAACCATTCAGTCTATTTACTCCAAAATTGATATTTCTCGATTGATCTATGCGAACTCGAAGCTCTCTTTTAGAAACGGATATTATGATTTCTGGATGTACTTTACACGAAGCTTCAATAACATTTGCAAACATTTCCCAAAATTGGCTTTAATTTTCGTTTATTAAATTTTTTCTTTGTATAGACTAAAGGACCATTAAAACCATAGCGCAAGCCTTATTTTCGTTGAATTCTCTGAGTTATCGAAACTGAAAAAAATTATAAATAATGAGGAAATGTATCTTCTGTTGTAGCACCATTAATGTATTAGGAACTGCAAACTAACAAGTCTGTACTCTTGCGATTATTCTCAATATGCATGGCGCTAGCCATGTTGATTTATGTCAGCCCATTGTATTGTTTACTCTACTGTTTTATACGACGATTAGTACTTTATCGTACGCGTCCCTTCTGTAATGAAAAACTTTCCAATCAATATACTGTGAATGAAGTTACGAGCTAGTGTCCGTGAATGAGTTCTGGAATACTAGTAATTTACATTACAAGGCAAGAAAGTAGATGTTTACACGACTAGTCAGGAGAATACCCTGACGAGACCGACAGACCTAGTCTAGAAATCCCGTCGTGTCATGGAAAGTAACGTTTACCGTGTGATGTACACTATTTTATTCGAGACCTGAATTTTATCACAATTTGCCCGAGTCATTTACATATTCAATTGATGATCACGCGAACAAACTATTTATTTTTCCGTTCGTTGATTTCTATCTATGGTAGGTCGACTGATAGCTCCGAACTAGCATTGCTGCTAACTCTGCAGTAGCTCTGAATGGAAGGTCCTAGTGTTAGAGTCCCGATTGTCGATTTTCGATACTAGCTACATAACTAGATCGTTTTTAGTGTATCTGCAGAAGAATTCTAACGGACAACTGTCCTGCTGGGTAGTTTTCCGGGATTTCTGCGACCATTGCCAGGCAAATGCCGGAACAGTACCCTGACAAACGGCCGCCCGCTATCTTCATCTTTGTCCTCTTCTCGTCACTTACTAACCCAATACCCACATGTCGGCGCCGGATTACACCAGCCAGAGCGGAGAGGAAAACAGCAATCTCCAACCCCACAAATCTTGCTCACCACTAAAGGAACGATTGACTGCAGCAGTTAAAGCGCACGGAAACATGAATCAATCAGCCAATTAACAAGTACGACACGTAACTCGAGTCAACCGAAGTGCGCATCCCCTTAACAAGCGTAAGCAACACCGCTCGCGTGTGAGTTGTATCGTCCATGTTTTGCCCGGCGCTTATCGGAGGGGTGTGAGGCCTGCCGCTGCAGAGCGAGCGTTCAAAGCCGCTTTGTGACACATCGATGGCTTTACGAGCTCTTTCGAGCTCTATGAAGTCGATCGCCGCGCAAGAAACGCTCTCGGCGGCGCGGGAGAACGCCGGGCTGTCCGCGCGGGCTGTTTTTCGTTGCGCAGCTGCCGGTGGAAGGCGGCGGTTCACAGTGGGCCGAAACTACATCGCGTGGGTGAAAATTGTAGTGTTTCCGGACGCGTTTCTTATCAAATAGAATAACGGACTGGAATAAGTCGCCTGAGACATTCTTCCCTCTAGGTGTTCAAAGATTTAAAAATAAATTAACTATTGATACTTGTAAAGTTTATTAATTAGTAAGTTAGGCTTGTTACTATTGTTATTATGACTATTAAATGCATTTCTTTACTAAATTCACAGTACAATTATATTCAATGTAGTATTTGTATAGAAGTGTGGCAAAAAGTTGTGGAGTGGAGTATAATAAAGAAGTAGACAGAGAAGTGAAGTGCAAGGGTCGTGAAGTGAAGTGCAGTGAAATTAAAAAGTGTATTTATTAGTTTAACTCTAAATTGCAAATGCAACCTGTACCAAGCATTACTTCAATGGCGTAGTCTGACAAACTTTGGGGAAAAATAAAGAAAAAATCATTTTTACAACAAAATTGTAAATTTAATGACTTGAACATGTATGTTATGAAGTTACAAAATACCTTTTAAATTTTTGTTACTTCCGAAAATGAAATAATTTTTTTTCTGTAACTGTTGTGACTTGCTTTACTGTTTCAAGTAATATGTAATTGTTGTTATAAATTGTATTTCTAGTAAAGGTTTCCTGGACATGTTTAGCTAATAAATTGGCTTTGTATATTGTACCTGAATACGCGATTTCTGTGTCGCCTTTTAAAATTGAGATTTTTCTTTCTCTTTGCTAGTTCGTTTGATCGTATACCACAGTGCTCTGCTGATAGTGTATTTGTTTTATTATGTTCTGATATTCAACATATAACAAAATTGTTCCAACCTGTATTTAATTATTCAGGAAATTTTATTTAATTTCATCAGAAGGTCAGGTCTCCTGGCAGTTCGTCAATATCGCATAAAGTTATGGTTGGTTTTAATTAGATTTACTATTTTCATCTATATTGATTTTCGTGTTTTTATATTCGTGTGCAATTGGGTTGTTGACTGTTTATTAGTTTTCTGTATCGATTGAATTATATGCTGTACTTGCTTATCTAATTCATTGTTTGTTTGAATGTTACTAATAAATATATTGTTGTCTATTCCAATTAATTCGCTGCGAGATTTCATTACATTGTAATAATTGAGCCAATGGCGAATTGGAGAAGTTTATTTTCGTAGTTACTGAGGAGTCATCCGAGTCTAATTCGGGCAACACTGCTTGAATTAAAGACAAATTGAAATTTTTTGTCTGTAATATGTCTAGAATAGCCGGCACTACATTTTTGTTATATGGATAGTGCGTTGGATATTGGGGGTGGGGCACAATATGGAGATATAATACGTAGACGAATAATTTTGCAAGTGGAGGTCAGTTGACTAAGCGTGTTAATTACTTTGTTGTCCACAGGGTAATGCTCCGGACGCGATTAGAGCAAACTTTTAATCACTAACTGATCGGAACGATTGAATGTTGTATTGATCACTTCGTAAAGAAACAAAATGACTATTCGTTAATCATATCTCTGCATTCGCCACTCTTAGCACTAGCAAAGTGACCACTGCGATGTGAACTTGAGCTACAGAGTGCGATGTAAACGCTACCGCTTCTCTCAACGAACTGACGAGCCTCGCTAATACGAGATTGCGTGCAATCCGACATAAAAGAAAGTCTGATGTGCGCCAAGTCAACCAAACAAGCAAGCGGCTGTCTAGAGGTAGCTCTTGACGGGTTGGAAACACTGGATCAAAAGTCACGTGTGCTGCCATTGGTACCAATATCTGTCTGCTACACTATTGTGACCGATTGGCGCACATGGATGGATGTATCTGTAATTTTAAACGTATCTGCACATTTGACTTCGTTGTACATCGTAGTTGAAAATTTCCTTTATGCATTTGCCTTTTTTTCGTGTAATTCGAATATTTTGTAATTCGAGGTACCGTCAGCCTCGATTACCTTGGAAGATCGCGCGCGGTCCGTGGCCCGTTTGTTAAGGTACTGCTCCGGCATCCACCTGGCGTTAGTCGGAGAAACCATAGAAAATTACTGATCAGAGCAACCAGCTCCTAAAATTCATCTCCAGATATCGACTGCATTCCACCTAGCTGACAAGCTAGTGTTGAAGATCCTGCCAGCGTAGGATCTCGCATGCGGTCAGAGGCACTCCAGGAACATCACTTGAGCCACGTCTTTCCGGTTTGTCCGTTGGAGTTGTGCCCCAGTGTGCGGCGGAAGGCACCGAGGCTGATGATCAGGAGAGAAGCGCCGGCGGGGGCGGGCCGAGGTGAACAGGATGGGGCGGAGGAAGGCGAGGGCGTGCGGGCGAAGCGGGCGTGACGTGCGGAGGCGGACAGGGTAAGGAGGGCGGGCGGCAGTGGGGGAGGGCGAGT